AGAATAGATGGTTGAGGATGAGACTGGGCAGCTCCGTGCGGGGCGTACGCTGGAGAGGGCCCTGCTGCTGGACCAGAAGAAACGGGATAGTGAACGATTTGCGATTGGGCACGAAGAGCTGGATTGTTGGGTGAAGAAAATGGGTTGTTGTTCGTCGCTGCGGCAGGCACAGTGGTGTTGGAACGGCCGTTGTGATCAGATGGATTGGAAGGTGGCCGGCTCGGCTGTTGCACTGTGGCAAGACCACTGTCCTGAGTTGGATTGTACGGATTGTGGTATCGACCGGGTTCCCTGGCAAGTTTGTGAGCTGCTAGAACACGGATACCTTCTGCAGGATGACTGGCTCTGGTGGAGTGGACTAGGAAAAGGGGGAATCTGGAAGGGTGAACTAACGTTTGAGCCTGGCCAGCTGTGAAGCTGGCTGGCGACTGCTGCAGATGCTGTACCTGCACCTGCTGCTGGGCTTGGTTGAAAGGCTGACTTTGCAGTTGCGATTGTTTCTGCGAGTTAGTCGCACTTTGTTGCGTAGCTGCATATTGCGCTGGAGAGACATGCGCTGGCTGTGACGGAGTGCTTGACTGCTGAATCACGGGCTGATACTGGTGCACCTGGAGCGTTCGGTTGCTGTCTGTGTATGATGTGCCCTGTTGGCCCTGCTGACTGCGTTGCTGGCTAGTGTGTTGGCCAGATTGATACGGTGATGGCTGGTTCATTGAAGAGGGCGTCGACCAGGTTCTTTGCTGCTGCTGCTGCTGCTGCGGTTGTCCATAGTTCGGTGGTGCATTTCGTTGCGCACCATAGGCGGCGGTCTGCGGGTTATAGGCAGGAGCATAAGAGGGAATGAAGCGATGCTGTGAATACTGGCTTGTCTGAGCGTGCTGATGGCCAGCGAACTGAGAATCAAAGCCATGGCCCGACTGGTGGCCGTTGGGCGCAGGAGACGGCGAGTTGCTCATTTTAGGAGCAAATTGTTGAGTTGTGAACTGTTGCGTCTTGAACCAAACACCGTCGATGGGCTTGCGCGGCTTGTACACGTATGGCTTCTCGACGGTGACTGCATTTGGCAAAGACGGCATTGGCATTGGGCCTTGCGCCGGGCCCTGCACGGGTACCGGCACCGAGGAAGTCGAAAGCGGCGACGGGCGGGGGGGACCAGGAATTGAAGGTCGTTGAGGCACTTGCGACGGCCGACGCTGCGTGACCGATACAGGCTTGGGAGGCTTCGCGGGCTTTGGCAGTGTGTCAAGGTAGTTGCTGCGCGGGTTGTGTCGCTGCAGCGTAGGGCTCTCCGTATACTGCGCCTTGGCCTCGGTCGACGTCTTGCCAAGGTAGTACCACAGCTGCATATCTTTGTTGAGGTCAGCTTTAACCTGATCCTTGTTGTGAAAAGGCTCGCAAGTGTGAAATTCAGCCCAGGTGAAGCCGCCGTCCACAAAGGTATCATCTTTCCTTGGCACCTCGTCAACGGCGCGTTTGGCGTTGAGCTCTTGCTTGGCCTTTTGCGAAGTGGGCATCGGGATAGCTTTGGCAGAGGCCTTTGGAAGATGGTAGTCGGAGGGATCAGCCACAAGGAGCCACTTCCACTCAACCTCGACGCGGGCACCATTGGGAAGAATATCCACCAACAGCATACGCTCATCTTTGCGATTTTCGACAACCACGCCAGCGAAAATCTCCCCCTTGAAGTACTGCAGCTGGCAAATTTCGCCTTCCTTGACAGCCTTGGCTGCATTGAGGATGCGCTCGTCGTCATCCAAGGAGTCGCCGTCCACCTTCTTGTCTCTCTTGGTGCGATGGAAACGACAGCTAAACTCGAAGGCTTGCTCCTTGTATTCTGTGCCGTCTTCACCCCAGACGGAGACTTCGGCCTCCTCCACAAACACACCGGCTGCGGCAGCGCAAGTAGCATGGTACGCGCGCGCGCACTTCTTTTGAGAACACTGGAAGCAGGCTCCGCGCTTGGATCGACAGAAGAGGCACTTGAGATCAAGTCTGTCCTTGGCGACATTAGCGACATTGCAGACAACCTCTTTGTCGTCGATGGTCTCGATGTAGGTCTCGGGAAGATAGTGGGCGCACATGCGGTGCGCCTTGCGTCCGTCGTTAGTAGGAATGAGCTCGGCGGAGGCAATGTCGTTGGGACAAAGACAACAAGGCGGCTCGGCGCGTGCCTTAATTCGGAGCCTGATTTTCTTCACCTTCTTCTCATCCTTGTCCTTCGCGTCACGCTTGCGCTTGCGAGACGGAGCCTTGATCTTGACAGCGCGAGATCCTGGTGCATTGGTGGATTCAGGCTCCTCCATGTCCTCATCCTCTTCTTCATCGCCATCATCATCAGTGTACTCTTCGTACTCCAGCTCCTCGCCTCGCAGCTTGCGTTCTATATCGTATACGTCGATCCACACACTGTCTTGCGCCTGGGGACACTGGCACCGCTTGGCGATCTTGCCCATGGGAAGCCATGAGTCAAGAGCAAAGTTGACAGCCTCCGCGCAGTTGTAGCCGAGGTTGTAGCCCGAATGGTAGCCGTATGGATATGTGACGACGAACTCTCCAGGATAGGAGACGCACTTGTTGACGGTAATGTTGTAGTTTTGCTTCAGCTGCTGTGGTGAGATGAGGTAGCCCTTATGGCGGAGGAACTGATCGCAGGCCTTGGCGTCAGTCGGCCAAATGTTCTTCATGGCTGCCTCAAATCGCTTGGCGTCGGCCTGCGAGATGCTGTACCACTGCTTCGGCGCGCCAAAGTGCAGATAGTTGATGCTGTATAGGTCGACATCCTCGAGATGCCAGGCAAAAGTGGCCTTCCACATGCCGAGATAGAGATATGCTGTGTTAACTCCCGGGACCTTGCTGCCCAGGACGTCGAGCAGGTTGGGGAGTTTGTTGAGGTTCCAGGTGTCGGTGGATTCGTCGAATAGCGTACCCATCAGATCAGCACCGTATAGAGGGGGCGCGTAGGTCAGGGTCTTCCAGTATGCCCTCTCCAGCTCCTCGCATCTCTCTGGCGTGTAGTCGGACACGTCCATGCGGTAGTCGAAATCCTTGAAGGCTTCCTCGTCAATCTTGGCAGAACCCTCTCGTTTGCTGTACTTCCGGCGCGCCGAGACGGACTGCGTGGCGCCCTTGGAGGGCCTCGCGCCACCCATACGGCCCATCCTGCCGACGGTAGGAGTGGCTTCGTCTTCCTCCTCCTCGGCATCCCCAGTCTCGACCGAGTCTACCACAGCCTCCGTCTTGATTTTGCCCTCTTCAGCATCTCCTCTTGGGGAGACGGGCGTCATAGGTCGATCTTCCGTCTCGGCATCGTCAGCGTCCTTCTTCTGCTTGCCGTTGTTCTTGGCGCCGCGCTTGCCGCCGCGCTTCTTCGCAGGTGCTGCCCTAGGTTTCGGCGCGGACGACGCGGCAGCTCGGGTTCGAGTCGCAGGCCTCGGCTTGTCTGCATTGGCGCGGCGCTCACCCCTGCGGGCGGGCGGCTGGTGTTCGCTCTGCTCGCACAGCTTGCGCCACTGGGGTACGTTGTAGGATCGCTGGTGGAGAATATTGACCTGTCGGAAGGTGCCGCCGGAGCCCATGATATCTTGCTTGATCGGTTCTCGCACACGGACCTGCTTGACGAGGTCATCGAGTTCGGGCAGAGAGTTTTTCCACTCCTCGGGCGGAATAATCTTGACGATGCCGGACTGCATTCCATAGCGGTCTATCTTCTCCATCTACAGGTGATGTGGTTAGCTGCGAAGCTCACAGGGCAGGCACGGGTGGTAGAAGACGGACAAATCGCTTGAAGTCCTTAAACTGATGCATGGTCGGCCGGAACACAGGGACGGTGCCCGAGTAGTGGTCGGGTTCGACTTCGCCAATATCGTCCTCCTTGGGCGGCTCGTCGGCGGGGTCCACGGCGTCATCGTCAAGTTCGCTGAGCTCGGAATCCGAGCCGTCGGACTTGGCCGCATTGTTGCTATCAGGCGGCGAGTGAAGGAAGGTGGGCTTTGCGCATTCTATGTGGTCGGCGGGAGCATCGTGTTCAGCATTCGCAACGCGGTCCTGGGTGTGGCCGTCTGTGTTGCCGACGTCGTTGGTGCAACCGGTCTGGGTCTGCGCTGCCTCTGGCGCAAGAGAGACCGGGGTGGGCGCTGACGCCAGGGCACTGGGGGCCTCAGTCGACATGATCCGGTGGACTACATGCGATTTGTTGAATGTCGAGGCCGCTTCCGTAGTATTCTTCCTTTTGCGCAGTTGTTGGATTTCGCTGGCGGGCTGCTGGTGCACTGCGCGGCGGGCAGGCTGTCGTGTGAATCGTGTGGTGAAGGAAGGTAACCAGCAACTGCAGGTGCAGGACAGTGGGAGGCGATCTAGGCTGGCAGCAGTGCAAAACGCTAAAATCGGAGGTTCGAGGTCTTCGGGACAGAGTGGGGACCAGTGGCGGCTTTCATTGGGCGCATTCGATAGCAGGACGGAGAACGTACCTCTGCGGGGAGGCTGTAGGGGGGAAAGGAGTAACTTGATCCACTACAGGAGGCCACGCGCTCCCTGGGTGGTCTGATGCTTAGGGGATCTGGCCTGACGGCTTCTTTTGATTCAGGGGGCTTGAATTAATGGATATGCATGGAGCTCAGTGCGGCTCATTAACACAGCGTGAACTGCAGCATTGACAGAAGTCTGGTTCACTATGTCTTGCGGCAGGATGACACTGCAGAGGATGCCAGTGATACCACTTTGTACAACCAGACCTTCAGGTGCATCGATCAAACTGGCAAAAGCGACTCAAAAAACTCACAGAGAAAGCAACTTCAACCCCTGCGATGTACCCTCAGACAGCCTGCAAGCCTCGATCAGTCGATGCACTAACCTGTACGCTAGTCCTATCACGGCCGGAGAGTTGTGGCCTCAGGCGAGAATTTGCAGCTCACCCCTCAAATGACGTCTGCCTGGGTCACGGGATGCTGAGCAAAAACCTCACTCGGTAGCCCTTGCATTGTAACACTGCGATATGGGAATAGCTTCAAGCATGTATACTCGATTCCTCATGACAATTCTCATCATCGAGGACTTATCCAATGTCTTGAGTATGCTGCTCCAGGGTACAGGTTTCTAGGTGCCCCATGTTTCTATGTGTCTATCTTGACTGTCACGTTGGATATATACACCTGACAACGATGAAGATTTAAGACAAGTGATGTGTCGAGGGGTAAGCGAAGCATTGTTCGCGGGTCTTGTGGATTCGATGCTCCGACGAGCTCATGGAGGCACCTGCGTTGATGTCATTTGACCGATCGCCCTACCACAAATCAACATCGTGTACCCTACCGTTTGCTTCCCGAGACAAGACTCGAGATTCAGATGCAAGGCACAGGATCACTTCTACGTGGCCCAATAAGCCTTGCGCCCTCCATCAGATAATCGTGCATCGTCGGGGGTAAGCCGATCTCTGAATGACCCGAAGAGATGTGGACAAGGGCTGTCACGCGGGACGTGCCGTACGCCAGGGGCGCTCCGGGTTCTCATCAGCAGAAACAGACGGGGGGCACGCGCGTCGTCTGGGGACGTCGGGGTATGCGTAAGCCCACCTCAGGCCGCAGTGCTGTCGGTATGCCTCGCGCCGTTTGCAGCACTCGATGGGGTTGCATTGAGGCCGAGCACTATTTTGGAGGCAATCTCTGATAATGATAGATGGATGTGGCTATAAGTGACATAGATGCTCGCACCATTCGAATGTTCCCATAAGGATGATCTGGAGGGAGCTTCGCTTTCTCAAAAGGGATCGAGGTGCGAGAGCAACGACATGGCCACCATAGGCGCCGAGGATGCAGAATGCCTTCGGGCGGTGAACACTGTTCTCAAGAGGCCGCTTTGGATCTTCATCCTCCGAAAGTGCCACAGCATACTGACTGCGAGGTGCCTAAGCTCCCAGCCCAATGAGCGCCTCGTTCCCAGGCACGAAGCCATCACCATGCAGAATACACTCTCATTGTGGCACGCCACCTTCACAGGCGTCTCGCGAAGCAACATTCAGCAAGGGCATCGTCACCTCAACTTCTTGCTCTTTGGAAAGCAAACCCCGGAACCTGCTACTTTGCATCTCTCTACATGAACCACCTCCAATTTTCATGATGGAGCAGTGTATCTCGTTGAGCAAAATGTGGAAAAAGGCAAAGATGGAAGAGAAAAGGTCACCCCAAAACACCATGCCAGAAGAAGGAAGAAAAGAACCACTAGTACCATGCACCCAAGGAGATGTGTCAAAACCCCCCTGAAACCCAAAAAAAAATCATCATCTCTATCGACATGGCGCGCCAACCACCAGTAGACAAACGCTGTTGAGCATAGCGGGCGGCTTTCTTTTGGCAAAGGAAACATGGTCATCATGCTGCGATGCGGAGGTGACTGGATCCTAAGCCGACAAACTCGAACATGATGGGGATCATGCCCACGCCGAGCCAGGCAATCCCTATTGTGCCAGCCGTCAGCGCCTGGCAAGACAAACACCAATCATTCAAGGATGGAACACTGCACTTACCAGCATACACGACGAGCTTTGTCACAACCTCGACGTCGTACCGCACTCTCGGCCTCGTCAGGCGGGAGAACATCTCCTTCTCCTCAGCTTCATCCTGTTCGGGAGAGGGAAAGTCCGTGGCCCTCGACTCTTCAATCGGGCTGGAGACGAAAGAGCCCATCTGCTTCTCATATTCGCCAATGCCGCCATGGACACCGGATGCCGCGCCGCGGCCATCACGGTCGTCACTGTTCTCCTGGACACCAGCCAGTGCCTCTTTGCCCTTGGTGCTACCATTGCTTCCAATGCTCTCCCTACGCCTACGCTCGCGGTAGGCTAGAGCCTCGTAAGCGTCGGCAGCGCTCTGTGGTCCGATGGAGACGGATCGTCCGCGCGTAGCCGGATGGCGAATGGACTCACCGACGCGGACGATTTCGCGCACAGAGGGGATGAGGTTGTCCATTCGCGAACCTGCAGGAATCGACTTGTATTCGGAGGCTGGGGTGAAGAAGCGGCGAGGCAGAGAGTAACCAGCACGCTCGATCAGGCGGAAGAGATGCGGCAGAGCGCGTAACAGGGTGGGCTTCATCATCTCGCGCCAGGCGAAAATGACGAAGACGCCAAAGAAGAGACGAGCGACAAGCACCGGTACGCCGAGAGGCCCCAAGTTGATGGACTGGAAGTTGTGGGCATTCGTGTCGAAAGGGTCGTAAGGGGTCCGGCCGTAGTTCCACGTAGCATATTCGAGACCAATCATGACGCCTGCAAAAGCGACGCTGTCATCGAAGCAGGGGCAGTCGTCCACTGGCTCCGGTGAATGCGCACGAGGACAATGACGACGAGGGCAGCGATGAGGACAGCGACCCACGAACTGGAGTGCATGTAGGCGTCGAGAGCGGGCCCGTAGTAGAACTCGGCCCAGGGCAATCAGGGCGCCAATGACAGAACCGACCACGACGTCGAGGAACCCGTGCATGCCACAGTACAGGCGGCCAACAACGATGGAGATGGCGTAGAAGTAGGAGAGACCTTCGAGCACGAGCTTGGTGGTCGCGGAATACTCCGTCTCCGGGCTGCGCAGAACAAGAATGGCGTAGAGAGCCACCGACACGGCGTTGGTGCTATGCGTGGAGGGAAAGCCGTACTCGAGCGCTGCTGAGCCGGACATGGTGATTCGGTGGAGGGGCGGCGAAAGGGGTCGTGGCAGAGAGCACAAGTCCTTGATGAAACCGGTGAAGAAGACGCCCTCAGCGAGGATATGGACGAGACTGCAGCATGTCAGCGAAGAGTCAGTATGACCGTTGCGCTTCAAAACTCACCCCTTGCCGAACGAGGCATAGCCATACCAGAACAGCATTGGCAGGCCGATCATGAAAAAGGTATGGGTGCCGAGGTTGGCCGTGATGGCGAAGTAGCTGTCGAGAGCAGGCGTGCGGGCCCTCTCCTGGAACCATGCCAGGTAGGGCGTCTCCCATCGTACCAGAGGAAGCATACGTTGTCGGAGGTTGTATCGCCATGGGGCATAGCCTTTTTGTCTGTTGGGTTCGTGGGCGGTCAGCGGTGCTGTGGCAGAGACTTGTGGCACGCGACACTGGCGGGCCGCGAGGGGGGGGAGGGGGGGAGGGCAGAATATGCTTTAGGAGGGTTGATCGAGCCCTGTACATGGGGACCGTCGCAGTTCTTGCAATCATGGAGCGACGGAATGGCCAGAACTACAACTCATCGACGAGCGTGGGACATACAGTGGTCTTGACTCCTCAAGCCAGCGTCGATAACGACGGGTTTGGTGGTGGAGGGCGGGGCATCGTCTTCGCGACGCTCAGCCGCGCCGTTGGGTGTGGAACACATGGGCTGAGAGATGTGGGCATCCGCTCGATCGGTGGTCGTTGCACTTCGGAAGATGAGGGTCTGCGCCAAACGAGGTCGGTCGTGACCTTGATTGCGACTGGGCGTGGTGCGTGAGGTTGTGTGCCAGCTGTAGGTTTTGGCCGAGGAAGCAGACGAGCAGGCGGGTGGGCGCTTGGATGGTGGAGTTTGCGTCTCGGTTCCTGGCAGGTACTGGGCTGGGCTGGAGGGCCAAGAACTGACGAACAGGCACAGGCGCTGAAGAGCGCCCACGCACTAAGTTTAGTGTGCGGCGCCATCTCGAGACCCTGGCTGCCCGCCTGCTTCCGCTGCTTTTAGAGCGTACCCAGAACCATTTATTTTACCTCCATATCCATTGATGACCTGCTTGCGGCAGCTTCACCTTCCTTCAGTACAGGCCCAATTGGCGTGGCATCGTACTTGTACAGTTACCAATTCAAAGAATGATCTCGACCTTGGAAGACATCGTCATGACCCAATGCCGTCCGACGCTTCTAACCACGAAGTACGCTCTTGCCTCTGTTCGAAGTAGTGTTCGAGCAGGCCACCGAATTACATATCATCATAATTATCGCAAATGGAGAACTGAGAAAGATGTATGTTGTGTTTTTGCCAGCGTCTTTACCGACCTGATTATCCATGTGACATCTACAGCTTATTCTGCTTCTTCACACAGTTGCCCGGCACGACGAGGTCCTTTCGCGAAAAGCAGTCGTCGCCAACACAGTCGAGCTCAAAGAACCTGACAACCTCCTGCGCCTGATCGGGAATATTGTGATCAACCCCGTCGGCAAGGAAGGCCTCGAAGAACCCCCTCCGACCGTAGATGCTCTTCGTCCACCCCGCCTGCGGCGTGTCCTCGTCGACCTCGCGCGGCTCGCTGCCCGTCCGCAACACCGTCGTCCAGAGCTTGACGGCCTCGTGGTAGTTGGTGGCGTTGATGATGTCGTCGGCCGCGCCGTGCAGCACCTGCATCTTGGGCCGAACGCCGTCGTACGCCGGGTACGCGGCGTGGACGAGCGCCGCCCACTCGTCGCCCGTGTGCTGGATCTTACCCTTGGCGCAGTCGTCGGACCAGACGGCGAAACCGTCGGCGGCGTAGCACCCAAACGGCACGCCGGCAAAGGCGGAGCCCGCGGCGAAGACGTCCGGGTATGCGCCGATGAGGACGTTGGTCATCATGCCGCCCGAGCTGATGCCCGTGACAAAGACGCGGTCGGCGTCGACGTCGTGGTGGGCGAGCGTCCACCGCACCATGCTCACGATGCCGAGCGAGTCGCCGCCGGCGTCGTGCGAGAGCGTCTGTGGCGAGGACACATCCCAGCAGTGGTCTGCGTCGTTGGGCGACGAGGGGTAGATGACGATGAAGCCCAGCTCGTCGGCGAGCGGTCGGTAGGGCTTCCAGTCAAAGGCGTTCTGGGCCGAGCCCCAGCACCAGTGCGGGTAGACGAGCAGCGGCGCGTTGGGGCGGACGGCGTCGGGGACGTAGAGGTAGAAGGAGACGTTGGTAGGGTTGGGACCAAAGTCGGTGATGTGCTGGAGCTCGGCGGCCGAGGCCAGACCGGCGGCCGCAGCGAGAAGACCAAAGAAGGGACGCATACTGACTCAAGGATCAAGCACCCTCAGCTTGGCTGCGCTAGGTGGCCAAGCAACTTTGGCAGAGGAGAGCAGACAGGTCTCTATTTATGGTCCTTCATTTTGGCTCAACTGGCCTCTCCGGATGAACGGCCTTGAAGGGGATCATCGTTCGATCGTGCCAAAGCTGTGCGCCGGCACAAACGATACTGAGCTTGTATGCGGCATCTTCTGGGGTACCGGGTTGGCGGGAGGCCGGGGCGGAGGCGAGCAGGCGATGATCGCGGGGATGGGTGGAAGGGCCTGGCTCCGTTCCCAAGGAGGGAAAGTCTCGGTCTGGCAAGCAGCGGGCTCTTCTGCGATGTCACCTGGAAGGCCACATTCATTTGCTTGCATATGAACAGCCTCTGAATCCTAGTGCCTGCCATGCAGCTTCGTTCACTGGCTAGACACTGGATGATATCAAACCAAGCCTTGGAAATATTTTGAGCCCTCCACCATGGCTGAACTCACATCTACGTTTTTCTCTGGTCCAGACGCAGAGCTAAAGCGGCGAGGCGTTGCGCCACACCCAATGCCTGCCCCTGAATCTCCTTGCACTTTCCTGCACTCCAATTGGCCAGCCAGAAAGACTGACGTTGCAGGGGTCCAGAATGGCCCAACCGCATGTGGACGATGACGCTCGTCGCGTTGCACGTTGCTTGACTTCAAGATATCTTCATTCAGCTCCTTTCTGTGCCCTTTAGATTCTTTGCATCGCAGAACGCTCACTGCACGCCCATGACTTGATACCGTGACCAATACGTGTCTAGTTGACTGGATATCTGGTTGACTTTTCAATTCCCTTCAGAAGATCACCGGGCATCCACCAAACCCAGGTCGAACTTCACCGTTCATCTTTTATTTTTTCTTAAAAAAAAAACAATCACAAGCTTGCTCCCTCTCAGATCAACATGCCCCTCCTCCCCCTCCTTGGACGCCACGCCCTGATAACGGGGGCCTCCGGCTCCATCGGCGCAGCGATAGCCCACCGCTTCGCCGCAGAAGGCGCCCTCGTAACCCTGACAGGCCGCAACGAGTCCGCCCTCCGCAAGACCCTCGCCTCGCTATCGCCCTTTTCGCAGGCCCGCCTCTCGCCCGTCTTGGCGGCGAAACAGTCGGCGCAGCCGGTCGATCAGCCACGGCACGAGTACAGCATCCTCGACCTCTCGCGGGGCGAGGGCAGCCTCGAGCGGCAGCACGCTGTGCTGGATGCGGTTTGGGCGAGGACCGGCCAGATCGACGTGCTCGTCAATGCGGCAGGCGTGGCGCAGTGGCAGCTTCTGCAGAACACGCCCATGGAGGAGGCGCAGGCGCTGATGGACGCAAATCTGCTTGGTGCCATCTTGACGTCGAGGTACATGGCGCGACAGATGAAGCGCCGCAGGGCCGATCGAGACGGTAATACATTTCGAGCAGCAACGGCCGTGATGAACCATTCGCTAAGACAAACTCTAGCATGTATCATCAACGTAGCTAGCCTTCTTGCCCATAAGGGCACGTCCGGCACAAGCGTCTACGCGGCATCCAAGGCCGGTCTCTTGGGTATGTTACGCTGAAGATTGAATTCATACGCTCATCCGTCTATCTCACAACGCAGCTACATCCTTTCGCTGACGCCCCTTTTGTGAAGGACTCACCCACGCCCTTGCTGCTGAACTCGCCCCCTTCAAGATCCGAACTAACGCCATTGTCCCCGGCTACATCCAGACTGAAATGATTGCCAGTAAGCCAAGATCCCGGGCCCTTCCGAGTCCGCCCCCTGCCGCCCCGTACCCCTGCCCGTGACTACCGCAGGCCGACGTGAGACCGACGAATAGTGCTGATGTACAATGTACCGCCCCAGACATGTCAAAAGAGCCACTTGAGATGCGGATCCCGCTCGGCCGCCTAGGTACTTCGGAAGAAGTGGCTGATGCTGCCGCCTTTCTCGCCCAAAATCCATATGCCAACAATTGCATACTTAACCTGGACGGAGGGCTAAGTGCTGTTTGATTGGACTCCTGAAATTCGCTCTTTCATAAAGTGGATTAGTTTCAATCGTCATCCAGAAGGATCGTCGCGTCTTCGGTCGGATCATCTTCAATGAGGATGATATCATCAGTTGCCGCGGATGTCTTGGCCTTCTTTGCCCCTGGGACATCACCTCCGTCATCTGATCGGGCACGTTTACTGCTGGACACTTCCGAATTGTCTTCTAGCGGCCGTTTACCATTGGTGTTGCTCAACCCATTGACGACGCTGATCTCGGGAGCAGGTGCTGCCGTCTTGGGTTTCCGAGGAATCTTCGGGTCTTGATCAATAATAAGACCCTTGACAGGCTTGTCTTGTGTCGAGTTGGTGCTACTCAATGTTAGCAACGAAGTCAGAAGGTGGTTGGTGTGGCCATACGTCTCCTCAATGTTAATGACTACGTTGACGAATGTGTCATCGTCATCCTCATCAGTAACGGTCAAGAAGGAATCGGCCTTGACACCCAGATCGCTGAGCTTCTTAGGGAGATTCTCTGTCTCCTCAGGATCGTATAGAGGCCCAATCTCGTTGCTCACAGCAAATTCCTTGTCACCATAACCCAGCTCCACCTTGACGAAGTCTTCAACCAGGTCCTTCAGCGTGGCCTTCGTAAAGTCAACGAAAGCGCTGACTTGGAAGACGCTGCACACTGGGCACAATGAATTTGGTGGTTGGAACGAGGTTCCCTCAATGAGGCGGCGGTCATTGCTCGGTGCCAGGAAGAGCTATTTCTAGATAAGCTTGGGCTCCTTGCTGGGCATTCATGATGGTCACTTACTTCCTTTGTGTGGTTATAGTCGCCCTTCAGCACCTTGAACGACTGCAAAACGCAAAGGCCAGCGACGATGGCGTTCGTTGTCGCAATGGCAGGGATGATGTTGCCAGCCATCTCCTTGATGTCGAATCGTGACTTGCCACCAATGCCGAAGATGCTCGATCGGATGTTTGCCGCCGCCGCCACAAAGTCCAGAGTGTCCTCATCGTCCTTGTCAAACGTGATGACAGGCTCTGGTCCGGATGCGTTCTGGTGAGCAGCCTTGAGCTCGAGCAGACGCTTGCTCAGACGATCGAGGCTGTCATTGAACACGGCAAGATTCTCCTCAAGTGACCAAACCCGCTGGTCGTCGCGCAGAATCTCTTCCTTCGAGGCCAGAGCTTCCGCAGCCTTTCCCATCAACGTCGCGTAATCAAGCGGCTCAGGCTTCCTGCGGGATTTCCACATGTCCTCCATGGACAACAGCCTCACAATGTCCGCATTGAAGACCTTGTTGAAGAGCAGTTCAGGGAAGGCTTCTGTGCCCAGAGATTCACGAATCAACCTCAGGGCTTCAGCCTCCTTCTTGAGCTCCTCGATCTCCTCCTTGTTATCAGCGTCGGCCGAATGGTCGTAGGTAGACTCGTCCTCGCTCTGGCCAAAGATCTCGCTCAAAAGGTAGCTCTTGCCCCAGACGATGCAATGAATGGGCTGACTGGGAGTGCTCCGAATCGTGCAGACGGGGAAGGACTTCGCGATAGGCTTTGCTGTGCAGTCGTAGCATGCTGTAACGCCTTTCTTGATGACCTGGACCTGACCCTTGAAGCCTGTTGTTCCACTCTCGATCAAGGGCACGTTGGCGGCCAAGCACATACGGTTCACATGCCGCCGAGCTTCAAAGTTGTCGAGCGCATTGAGAACCAAGGTGAATCCGCGGAACCACCTTAGGTTGAATTCGGCATCTTTGATATTGGCGTGATGAGGCACGATCTTCACCCTGGGGTTGAACTTTTGCGCCACCTCGGCGGCTACCATGGCCTTTGACTTTTTGATATGCTCATGTCGGAAGAGGAATTGTCGGTTGAGGTTGCTCAAGTCGATTGTGTCGAGATCAACTACGTGTATTTCGCCGAAGCCGTTGAGGACGAGGTTCTTCAGAAGTTCGCAGCCAATACCACCAGCTCCTACCATCAGCACACGAGCCTGTGAAGTTGGAATTAGCACCAAGCGTTGGTTGCAAGAAGCTGGAAAGAGCATCTTGTCGAGTGCGTTCCTGACGATAGAGTGGGAGATTGTGATGCCGTCGCAAACGGGAGGCAGAGAGACGGTGGGCGTCACGCCCGTGTTTCGCATCTTACCTGTCTAATGGTGTGAAAGAGGGCTGGGCCCAATGATTGTTGGTAGTCCTTATCACGGGGTTCAGGTACGGCTCGCTGCTGAAGTACGGTTTGTGCTGGTACAGGCGTAGGCCTTTGAGAGGTAGCAAGCGCGGGGGCGGGGGCGGCAGCAGGCGCAGGAGCAGACACGGATGCAGGCAGCGGTGCCGGGACAGGCGCAGGTGTCACATCGTCTACCGGTGTCGCCGCCGTCGGAGGATCCGTGACGGCTGGTGAAGGGACGGGCTCAGTTTTGGGAGTCGGCGCAGGAGGCTGTGTCGGTGTTGTGTCTGTCGTCGCTGGCTTCTCCTCGGCAGCCGGTGGCGAGACAGGCGTAGTTGAGGAATTCATGGTCGTTTGTGTCTGTGTGACGCGCAGAAGGTAGAATCGGGACTAGAGGCACGGATGGCTACGTAGTGAGTCGCATTCAGATGCTGGCACGTCAATCGAACGGACAGTTGATCCAATGAAGATGAAGAGAAGGTCGGGTGGTTGATGCGATTTGTTTGGTGATGCTGCAGGGTTGAAAAGGAACAAGAGTTGCCTGCGCTGATCCGCTGGCAGCCTGGTTTCAAGGCGGCAGGTGAGGTTCAGGTTGGTCCGATGGTAGCTTCTCTGTCGGCCCGCGGGCAAGAGCGATCGGCCTAGTTGAAAGGGCGAAGTTCTAGCCAATACCGGACTTCCAAGGTTTTGGCGACGGGATTCCACCGCGGTGCAGGGATTGGAGCTGTTGGCCTGTTGTGGGCGGATGGGCCAATCGCTGCGATCATGATATCATTGGCTGCCGGCTGTGGGGGTCTTCCTACTGTTCGTTCGTCCCTGACAGGCCTTGGGGAAGGGCCCTGGCATTAGGTACCTCCTTCCTTCACTCCGTAGGTAGGTACCTACCCAGGGAGACCGCCCTGGCTGCAGCAGGCTTCACTGGTCATGTGCCGACGGGAAACATCGTGCAACAGCTTCACAAAAAGGGTTTGAGGGTTCAGGTTCCAGTAGAGTAACTCGAATTCGAACTGTCCATTCTCTTGTGGTTTCTTTTGTCTCCTTGTAAGCAGGCTGTATGCTGTGACTCTATGCCAATGCACCCCTGGACACTCTCCTTCTCAAAGGTGATCGGTGTCTTTCAACCCCTGAGTGGTCCCTCATCCGCCTAAAAAAACGCCTCTATCAAAAACTTTCCGAACCGCGGGTTTCGTTTTAAGGATCAGCCACTTGCCCTTCTATACTCTGGATCGCATCGCCAACACAGCAAAGACTCGACGGCACCACATCAGCCATGTCAGACGACGAAGCAGACCCTGAGCTCCTGGATTTTCTGCGGCAACATTTTCAGAGCAAGCTTACCGTCAACCCGGATCCTGAAACAGGGATCCTCGCCGACGCTGAGGCGGTCTACGATGACTCCATTGACGTCGCGATTGACATGCGCGCACCAAGGCCGCCGCAGAGACCATTCATGCCCAGATGCAACACAAGTCTTACTCTCCTGCAACGTGGAGCCAACATGAGCTGCACCCCAAGGCCAAGGATGAGTCAACACTCGCCTTCATCTTCACAATGGACCTCCTCAACTTCTCCTTCTGGTCCGAGCTGCCCGAAGACGAACGATTCGCCATAGAGTACCGCGGACGGAAATGGACGGGCTACTGGAGTCTCGTCGCCGCCCTCCAGCGCGCCCTAGAGGAGGGCATCCCCATCACCACGTCCGATTACTGGCAAAACGAGGACGAGTGCACCCTCGACGCCCTGCGCCACGTCTTCCGCTCTGCCACAGATGAGGAGATGCCTCTTCTCTCCGAGCGCCTCGTCTGTCTGCGTGAAGCTGGCCAGGTCCTCTATGAGAACTACGACTGCAGTGTCGCCACTCTCGTCGAGTCTGCCAACGGGTCCGCCGCCGGCCTCGTCAACACTCTCGGACGTGAGTTTGCCTGCTTCCGCGATGAGCACCGCTACGATGGCCGGAAAAAACCTGTGCGACTCATGAAGAGGGCGCAAATTCTCGTGGCAGATGTGTGGGCATGCTTCGAGGGCGAAGGCTTTGGAGCATTCAGGGATATTGACAAGCTAACCATGTTCGCCGACTACCGTGTGCCGCAAATTCTGAATTCAATGGGATGCTTGTACTACAGCCCATCGCTGGCGACAGCCATCAACAAAAAGTCCTTCATTGAGACTGGGTCGAGATGGGAGCTGCAGATCAGAGGCGAGTTCCGTCTGCCTGCACAATATCAACATGTAATGCTAACGATTCGGCAGCCTGCAGTATCTGGTGTGTAGAACTGCTTAAGAGAGAAATTTTGAGAAAGTACCCAGAGACGGAAGTGAATGCCATTCTGATAGATTTCTTTTTGTATGATACCATGAAGGAGATGGAAGCTGCGGGTACGGAGACGGTCCTGCATCATAGAACAAGGAGCATCTGGTACTGAGGCAATCTGTACGGTCTGGGCGTGCTATTAGACTCGTTGCGTAGAGCATCAGAAGCTTTTCAGAAAGCACTTGTGGTTGCAGAATTCATGATATTTTATCAGAGTCCAATGACTCATTCGCTACGAAAAAGAAGTGTGCTCTGTCGTGCAAAACTAGAAGAGGAAGCCAGATAGCTGTTCCATCGCCCTCGAACGCCCCTCTCAAACCCCAAAACGCCTCGTGCATCAACCACAACCCTCGTGGAAAAGATTTGGCCCGTCGTATCATGCGAGACAATGGACAAGCCGTCAAGGGTTCCAACCCGCGGAGGGATATCGTACAAAAACAAGAGCAAAGATCACGCTGAGGTCAAGATTCTCATGTTGACCCGACTGCTGTGGAGTTGAGAATCGCATCCATATGCGCGCGCTCAGATTGGCTGCCCTCCTTCTGCTCCTTGAGCAGCACGGCAAGAACCTCGATGGGAGGGTTGAGGCCGAGCTTGTTGGCCCTCTCCCAGCGCCTCATCCGTTGGATTCCGACACAGGGCTACGTCACGTTAGTCATATGTCCGCGGAGTGAAGAGTGAGTCGGCATAGAAAGCACACGTACCCCGTACTGCGAGCTGACGTCGAAATACCGCAGCACCTTCTCCCCCGTGCTCAAGTCTTCCACATGCACCCTCTTGGCAATGCGCTCCGCCTCAATGTTCCGCCAGTACTTGTTGATCTGCGCATCGGTCGTCTTCTCGGCGCGGATCTGGACCTCGGTCTTCTGTGGCACCTCGACCTTTGGCTCCGGCTGCTCTACCTCAGGTTCGACCTCGATCTCGACGGCCTCAGGAACCTCCTCCTCCTTTTTGGCATGTGTAACAATGCGGTCGCCCTTGGTGACAGCGGCTTTCTTCAGTTCCTGCCGAGGTACAGGCTTTGAAACCTTGTTGGAGAAGCTGATGGTCGATTGACCTTTGTTGGGTCCAGGGCGGGCGCGAGCGCCGCCAGTTGATCTGCGGTTTGTCGGCATTTTGGCGGGGTAATGATATTGATACTTCTGGCTCGCAGTAATGATCTCGTGAGACTTCAATAAAAGAGATCGCCTCAGGATTGATGATGTTTGCGACGATGAACAGTTGTTTTGGTTGTGCAAACCGATGTTTGTTAGCGAAGATGTCAGGACGGTTTCAGCGGGAGGGTAGGCAGTTGCAAGGGCTGGAATGAATGTCAAAGACCAATGACGAAATTCGAATCTGGCTGTGGGCGATTGGCCAGAATTGGCGGGCAACGCGTCGAAGGGAAGCGGAGATCACGTGGAGCTTTTCTGTTCTCGGGCATCGAGCAAGATTTCCCATCAGTCAAGCGCACTGCAATTATTCAATGCGTGTTCGCAGGTGCTTCTTATGATTCATGATGCATTGGTGGTCGCTCCCACTTTTTTGTAGCCTTCTCTCGGGCCGGAATGCCTACTTCGGCTTACGTACCAGTAGCCTCGCGGTAGAACGAGATACTCCTGTTCGCTCCCGCTGTGCAAAACATCTCGCTCTTTTGTGTCTTGGGCAGCCACTTGACCGACCAAAGTGCCTTGTCCGTCTCGCTGTGTGTCGCAACGCAGGCTCCGCGATCGACGGACCAGACCTTTACCTTGCCGTCCATAGCTCCGCTCAGCAGGTACTCGCCCGTGTCGCTCCAATCCGTCGAGGTGATCCATGATGAGTGACCTGTCAAATTGCCCACATGTTCGCCGTGGTTCATGTCGTAAAGAGCAATAACCGAAGCGTCGCCAGCTGCTGCGAGTCGGGAGTTGCCAGGTGAGAAGGCGACTGATCTGACCGGCTTCGCCAGGCCTGGAAATGTCAGTGTACCTTCAAACCTCCCACCCAATCTCGGACGTACCTGATAGGGAGTGTTGCAGCCGCCCAGTCTCGTTGTTGAAGACATAGACAGCTCCACTCTCGTGGCCGCTCGCAGTGAACTTTCCATCCCGGCTCAGGTCAACGCACATGCCGAAGCTACCTGACCCCGCGCTTCCCGTCTCGTACTCCTGGACCCTCTTCGTCTCCTCGCCGGAGACATCCCAGACGTTGATGCGGCCGTCATACGTCGTGCCAGCAAGGAATCTTCCGTTCTCGCTCAGGGCAACGGCCCAAACCTCGCCTGCCTTGCTTGCCTGCGCGATCTCCGTCTTGAGGTTCCATTCGCCCGTCTCGGGCGTGACGACCCAGACCTTGACCTCGCCACCAAAGCCCGCACTCGCCGCTACCTTGCCGTCGCGTGAGGTGCAGATGTGATGGCATCCGAGCTTATGCGCACCACTAATGGACTGTATGATGGGGAATGACTGATCGACCGTGTCATGGACGTTGATGGTGGAGGAACCGCTCGCAGACAGCAGGGCTTTCGGTGTCGCTGCTAGTCCGAAGATGTCTATAATGTGGGCTAGAGGAGATTGATTAGCAAATCAATGCGAAAAGTCAAGAGGCAGGTTGCTCATACCGTTGTCCACCGTGTGCATCGTCAGATATTGTTTCGACTGGAGGTGCCATGGTCAGTAAGCCTGTGGTAGGGAAATTCAGGGCGGCCAGGCTTTACCATCTTTCAAGCCACGGCGCAGGATCGCCAGCTCTTTTGACCTTGCGTAAATGAGAAAGAGTCGGCCTCTAACTTTGTACTTCGTCAGGGCGGTGTTGCTGTACGAAGAGAGGCACGTCCCGAGTCGGCGCTCCCAGTTACCGTTGATGCTGGAGCGATCGGTGGAGCTCTAGAGCTGGAAGTTATGGAGGGGCCGTGGGAGCTCGAGCCTGCGCGCGGGGCCAAATTATGACGTCCTGCACAAGGAGAGCACAGCACAGTCAGGTAGCGGTAAATTTTGACAATTATGGTCCAACACTTTAAAAGCTACGAGAAAACCCCAGTATCAGTTTTCGTAAAACTTGAGCAGAACCTCATGAGCTCCAGGACTTGTGTATTAAGGATTTATAATATATAATGTATGCTTTTGTGACAACGTGTCATCAACAACAGGTTCGGTCTAATGGTCTAATGGTTATGACTGCGGATTCTGATTCCGCCAGCCCAGGTTCGATTCCTGGTTGGACCTAATGTTTTGCATTTGTTCCGAGTTGGATTCCCTTCGACTTCGTCAAACTTTTGAAAATGTAAATGATTTTTGAGCTTCGTTGTTCCGCTCTTTGAAGTCGGAGAAGACATAAGTTTTTAGAAGAAGTGCATATGTTACTCAGATACAGTACAGTTTCAGACTCGGAAATCGATGTCGTCGGATTTCTGAATACTCAAATTCCCGATGTCGAACTTCAACAATTACATTACGTACGTTGCTCCCAGAAGAGTCGGATTCTTCAGGCACCAACCATACTATCCTTCCTTCTAGTTAATCTATTGTACATCTTCCCTGACGGCGTAGGAGCAAGTGATCCTCAAATCGAGGCTGCGGCACCTGATTTCGGAGTATGCATCGATCTACCACAAGCACATATGCAAAATGCAGAGCGTAGCGAACCTCCGTACTCAAGCGAGACCGAGGAATTTCAATGCCTTGTGGCTATTTCCCTTCTTCAAATGGGGCTTCGACATGAAAATGGGCATGAGGCGCCTTTCCTCTTGGTCGTAATCGCTATCGTCCTCATGGTTGAAAGTAAAGATAGAGGTTGAGTCTGTCGGACAGTCCATTGTGGGACCAAAAGTTCCGCCGCTCTTCCGTGACTTTGCTCTTCGACTGCGCGATGATTTGTTTATCTTGATTGTTTCAGCGAATGAGGGCGCTTTGGACGACATTGCGGGCGAGGGCGGTCGGGGATGATGGTTGCCTCTTGGCGGCAGGGGTGATATCTGCGGCGGTGGCGATAATGGAGGGCTCTGAAGCCCCATGGTCGTTCTCGGAAATGGAGAGAGGGAGGCAGAGATAGGCGTCGGAAGTCGCTTTCCCGCTCTTTGCCTCGGTGCCTCGTCAAACACGTAGAAACGTGATACATCAATGAGCAACTTGCGGATCGTCGACACAAAGTTTTCCGATTTCCGCTTTCTGTCGCTGTTGATGTGAGGAGGAAGTTGGCCCTCGAGACGGCAACACTCTCAGGGAGAACGTTGGATGAAGCCTTCCTGTGAAGGGGGCTTCCCAGGGGGGGAGCTGACCCTGAGTGGTTGCCTTCTTTCACATTCGTGATCGAGGCACCTCGAACGTGGTTGAACGGCAGAGGGTCGTTTGCATTCGAGTTTCACTATTGCTGCGACCTTCATAAGGTCCACGCCAACAAGTTTCTGAAGTGCCAAGACTGTGGCTAGATGATCTGGAGGATATTCCAAGATCAGGAATCGCACCTCGTTATGAATGACGAAGTAAGGCTCCAGGTGAGGAACAATTAGAGTTGCGAGCAAATAAGGATTTGTGAATGGGTTTTCGTGCGTCTGATTAGCAAGTGGCTGTGCAGTGAAAGCTTGCATAGCGTTGGCAACAAGATATCTGTGCTTCCGTCAGTGACCGATCTAGAAGGCAAAAACCACTGTGCATACCGAAAATCAAGCCGCCCGCTTCGACTGACTTCGCCAGATTTCACTCCCAACTTTTCAAGCTGTCCGATGAGATTTGACAAGTGAGTCTTCCTAACCCCCCGACGCGCTCCTACAGCTAGAATCTGGTCGATCCTGCGCTGACCGTTACGGGGACTTTCCGCGCCGGCATTGCGGAAGACTGGCTTCCAGAGGCCACCCATCTCTGGTAGTATGGAAAAATGAAAGTGGTGATATCCTTGGTCCTCCGGAGGGAAGTGAAAGTTTAGCAGGAGCCGCAGAGAGTTCTGGACAGCAACCGCTGTCTTGCAACCTGTTATGTCGCAGCTCTGGATCCTTTCTTCCCCCAGTCCGCAGACAGAAGACAGAGAAGAGGGTGTCTGTGCTGGGGTTGTTGGAGTTGCAGGCTTCAGTTTTAGTGTTAAACGAGTTGTGTTTGCAGGTTTGAGGGGTGTCGGACCGTAGGCAAAAGGATCGTATTCGTCTGGATCTTGGGCCGAACGACAGTACTGACGCAGAAAGAATTGACAGAGTCTTCAGCAGCAGTCTCGATGTCGTGGAGCTTTGGTGCCCTTATGACTGATTCTTTCCGGGCTACCAATTGCTCGGACTGTTCTTCCGTCTGAATTGGATAAACACCAGCTCTGAATGCGCTGATGGTAGCATCGAGGACACTATCATCAGCTCCATCCTGAATATTAATGACAAGATCTTCGGTAAAGGGCAGCACGGGCCGGAAAGGGGGCTCAGGAGACCGAGAGCTTTCTGCGTCTGTGCCCTTGTCAACATAAGCGCCGTTGGCCTTTTTCTTCGGTTTTGGTGGCGGAGGAGATAATAAGACAGTAGGACGATCGCAGCGAACGTGGATTGTTCTCGACAGTGATGTTTGCAGCAGTGTCGCGACATTGGAGTCACGTCGGCCATCTTCTGACAGAGCCTTCCCGCTGTCGACCCTGGCTTGAATCTGAGCTTGGAGCGGAGGATCCCCGTAGCTATCCCCAGTTTCGTATGCTCGGTCAAGAGACTTCGTTCGCTTCGTTGATCGTCGGGGGTTGCCCATCTGCATCTGCATCGAGGAACCCTCTCCATATGCAACTGTGTCTGTAGACTCTGTGCTGTGACCTGAAAGGGGCGTGAGCATGTCCGTCGTCAATAGTCGATGTGGTGATCTAGTCTGGTGCTCGTATGTCTCTCCTACGCAACTCGGTGACCTGAGGGGCGGGAGACAATCATCCACGGCCTTGAATGTTGCCATGGTATTGGTCAAACTTTCGCCGAAATCGGTGACTGCCAATCTTGGGGTTGCTGAAAGAAAGTCGTTTCTGGTGCTGTCATCGATACATTCATCGTCTTCGCAAGACCTGACTCCAAAAACGTAGAATGGTGCAGCGTCGCCGAATCTATCATCGAAGCTGTAAATGGGAAGGCTCATACTCCGGGGCCTAGCCTTGAAGGTGAGGTCTACGTCGGTATTTGGTTGTAAGTCGGCAGTTAGTCGATCAAGGGCTTCAGCCGCTCGCATGGCTCTCACGATGGGGTCTTCTTCCGGTACGTGGTGTCTACCCTCCCTCTGTCGAGAAAACCAGTCATCTTCAAGTCCAGCCGCGCCATGCTTGACAATGTCATTGAAGAGAAGCCTGGCATGAGAGATATTGCCGTCGGTCTCATGTTCAGCAATCGATTTGATGCAGATGGCCTGGGCGCCAGGTGTGCTGCCGTTCGTGAAGACCAGTCTTTTGTTGGTTGGGGTTGAACCTTTCAGAAAGGAGTAGGCAACCTCGTTCCGCGCGGCGACGGCATTATGCATTCTCCTGATGAACTTCCGAGCATCGAACCTCTCGCTTGGGTCTCCGTCCTCAAGATAGGTCTGGACTTGGGGCAGGATGAAGATTTGTGGTGAGGTTGGGAGCAGACGTAGCTGGGTGGCAAGAACGTCAACCGGGCCCTCAAGAGACACCAAAGTGCCATGGTATCGAGTGGGATCGTCCATAGTCCGTTTTGTGAGATGCGAAGTTGCCTGATAATGGAAGGAGTGATACTTGTTATGAAGGTTTTGTTGAGGGATGCAGTTGAGGGATACAGTAGAGGGCATTAAAATTATCCAGACGATGAAGATAACCAAAAGAAAGAGTGGCAAATGCTGATGAGAGTATAGACCAGGCACACTCTCGAAGAACAGAGTGAAGTGCAACAGTTAAGAAAACGGGTAAGGAGATACAAGCCAGACCAAGCCAGTCGAATTTGACACTGAAGGGGGAAGGACGATGCACACTAGCATCAACGAGGAGAGCCCCAAGCGAACAACTGAATCGGGCGGAAAGCAACGCATGTTGTGCGTCTCCATGCAACAAGGAACCTTCACCTTTTGTTGAAGATGGAAGGAGAGACAGAGAGAAGTGAAAAGAGACGAGGTGCCACACAGTTGGCTCCTGCCTTAGCCGATACGACCCAACACCGTCCTCGTCCCCAGCTTCCAACGCCGTGCACATGGCCAAATTGGCGGGTCGGCTGAAGCAAGGTAATGTCTTCTTAGAGTGGTACATCGGTTGAGCTAGTCGCAGAAGAAACATCACCATCACGGTCGAGCGCAGCCCAACTTGGCCATATCATGGCCCGTTATCGGCTGCGTGGAGAACGAAGAGGGTATGGCGCCGAAGCAGTGATCAGGATGCCCTGGTCAGACAGGGTAGGTTCGACGCAGTAGCCGCCCGATGTACAGCTACGTACCCAAAGTACTACATCATGAGCTCGTTGGCTGGAAGCTAACATCGTGAAATTCTTCAAGGGTGGCGGGTGCATGCAGCGGAAGACCTTGGTGGAAGAGGCATCTGGCCAGAATCCCCCCCACCGTCACATGTGCTTCGGAAGCAGAAACATAAGCTTCCAAACGGAGGACCGAACCACCTGGGCATTGCCTCCGGACAGATCACGA